CATGGCGAGAGGCCCATACTTTTGAAATTTCTCCTAAACATGGGAGATGCTTGGAGGTAATCAAAATTTTGTCTGAAATAAAACAAGGACTTGAACACTCACGGGGGACTTGGACAAAGATTTTAGAATTTAACTTGAACATAACTTGAGCACAAGATCAAACTTAAATCAAAATATAATCAAATGATGTTGAAAGTAACTAGGACATGGACTTAAACTTGATTTGAGCATTAAATAACTTGAACTTGAAGTAAATCTTGATTCAAATTTAAGAACAATGATCTTAATTTGAGCTCAAATGAAAGGTTACAAAAGGCCCAAAGTAAAATTAGGAAATATTAGAATTAGATTTCATGAATGAAGGAGAGCAAACTCAAGCAAATATGTAAGGATTTGTGCCAAGGACAACAAATCCAAACTTTACTTGAACGATCAAAAGAAACTTGGACTCAAATCAAATTCGAACAGCAAGAGACTTGAACAAAGAAAACAAGTGACCCTGATCGAATTCAATTGAAAGAACTCGAATTTGAATGTGACGTAAAGAACTGGACTTTGAGTTTTGAAATGAATAATCAAAGAACAAAATTTTGTCTGAAATAAAATAAGGACTTGAACACTCACGGGGGACTTGGACAAAGATTTTAGAACTTAACTTGAACATAACTTGAGCACAAGATCAAACTTAAATCAAAATATAATCAAATGATGTTGAAAGTAACTGGGACTTGGACTTAAACTTGATTTGAGCATTAAATAACTTGACGTAAATCTTGATTCAAATTTAAGAAAAATGATCTTAATTTGAGCTCAAATGAAAGGTTACAAAAGGCCCAAAGTAAAATTAGGAAATATTAGAATTAGACTTAAATGAATGATGGAGAGCAAACTCAAGAAAATATGTAAGGATTTGTGACAAGACCAACAAATCCAAACTTTACTTGAACGATCAAAAGGAACCTGGACTCGAATCAAATTCGAATAGCAAGAGACTTGAACAAAGACAACAAGTGACCCTGACCGAATTCAATGCAAATAATTAGAATTTGAATGTGACGTAAAGAACTGGAGTTTGAGTTTTGAAAAGAATAATCAACGAGCAATAAGTATAAATAAGGAATACACAAGATTGAACTCAATTTGAATTCAAAATGAAGAAATAAGAGGGGCTTGAATTGAATTTTTATTAAACAAGGAACTCCAAGTACAACTTGCTTGCAAAGAGAAATGAACAAGAGTTTCTACCTATAAACTATGGCATGAAATCTCAAATGAATGTCAAAGTGTCGTCATGATAATTGGAATGCACTATTAAGCGACATCCCCACAAGCAGCAACAATTCAATGTCAAACAAATGCAAGGAACATTTACAAGTCATAACAATCAATATGCAACATGAGATGCTCACAAGTAAAATATGAAGAGCATATGATGAATTTCTTGACATCTACATCATCGATAACAATTCAATATAAATCAAATACAAATGTCTTCCGTAGGTAGAAGAGGGCGGCATATAACAAATGCAAATGCCTACGACGTTTGTAGAAGACCCATTGTGCACATAACATGTCATCTACAAGAAGGATGCAAGGAGTCTGCCACAAGTATTAAGATACATATATATCCTATAATAAGGAAGTGGCAAGTAGATGCATCTGTCTCCTACAACCAGAGGGAATTTGATATACAACAAGTGCAAGTGCCTACGGTCCATTGTAGGAGGCCTGTTGTACATTCAACACATGTCTGCATGCAAATGTGAAAGATCTACAATACATACAAGTTCTCTACGAATACAGATGCAAAAATGGAAAATAATGGTGGTCGACACGTAATGATCACATCAACCAGTGATGACATTTGATGTAGCATTCATTGTCTAACAAGCAAGAATATTATACTACTGGAAGTACGACTATGACTCATTTGCAAGCAAAGATAAATGACATATAAGAGATATAGTGTCTACAAGCAGAAGAATATGGTTGCAAAGAAGATAATTCCCCTTACTATTGAGGCCACTCAATTGCATGCAAGAATGCATACTCCTTCACAAACATGTATAAGCATCATGTAATGAGCATCCTATAGTCAACAGCTCTTTGGTGTCGGGCAAATGTATTGATCCCCTATGACTGACAACACTCCTTACAAATACAAACAAGCAACAATGATAGATGTGTTACAAACTTGAGAGAGCCTCGATGAACATTACAGATTCCCTCCAGTCAGTGACAACTGACTCGTAAATAAATACAGTGGTTGCCTAAGAATGTTGTCAGCACGCAATGAGCGTGATGGAGGGCCTGATGTGCCTTCGATTACTGTAGTTGTTGGTTCGAGGCAACAACCACTAACTCCGAAGTATAGGACATCAGTAAGGACATAGCCATCCAAGGTTGAAATGATTGATTTTTTATTTAAGCCAACAATAGAAAATAATTATGACGGCTTAATCTAGTAGTTGTCTATCGATTTCAATGCAAGTTATGAGAAGAGAAAGATATATCAAATCATAATTTTCAAAGATGGAGTGATGGCGCATTATCCACAAGCAAAGTGCAAATTGACTACATCAAATGCAAATGCGTACGAGCTATTATGGGAAATTTGTTGCACATACAACAGACTGTTTGTGAGTAAATACAGAAGATCTGCAATACATACAAGTCCTTTACGAATACAAAAGTGCACACCACATGCCACCTGTGAATGGAAGCAAAAAGACCTCAGTGAATGCAATATCTTATAGTCAATATCAATTTGTTAATGAATACACTGACAACCATAAGTAAGACATGAAGGATGTATATAATTAATGCATGTGATGCATCAAAATATTGCATCATCCTTACAATTAGCAACCATGTAGTGGTAGTCAAATGTGTAGATCCATTGCAAGTAGGGGAGGGTTATACACAGCAAATGTAAGTACCCATAAGCTACTGTAGAAGACCCGTTGTACGCCCCACGTGGTGCTTACAAGCAAAATGCTAAAGAACTACAAGAAAGATGTGTAACATCAGATCTGCTCCAGGATCGTCCGGGCCGATCGAGATCGTCCCGGTACGATCAGTTTAAATTTTGTTCCAGATTCTGTACAGAAGTTACATGAATGATTTCCTGTAGGGATCGTCCGGGCAGATCTGGGATCGTCCCGGGACGATCAGTTCATGGCAAAAGTCAGAGTCGTCCAGGAAATTAATTATCGTCCTGAGAAATCGTCCCAGGCCGATTGGATTTTGTTCAGATCGTCCAGAACGATCATGCGATCGGCCGGGCCGATCAGAAGGTTATTTAACGAAAATCAATGTATAGATAGGAGTTGACACAACTCAAATTATCAAATAAATATACGGTTAAGGTGCCGACTGAAATATCTATTTTATACGTTTATATTAGACCTTCAAGGGCTCCAACAAATAAAATTCATTAACAAAAATATAAGGCCTATGGACCCAATCCTTTGTCGACCAGTAGACAAAGTCAACAAGGTCCGATAAATGAAATTCTCAAATGTCCAAACACACTGATGATGGTCGTATTGAATATTTATCTCAACCAGATGGGTTTATAAATACTTTCAAACGCCTCCCAAATATTCAAACACCCATAAAATTCAAATTATGAAATCCCAAAATCTAAATATTTAAAAATAAAATCTAACCATTAATTACTTAAAGCAAAATCCATCCACCCTCCGCAATAGTTTATCGAGGTGGATAAATTAAAAACTACTTCAGCTCACAAAGAGCAAATGCCCGGCGGAAATATCATTAGGATCCATTCATAAATAACCTCATACAAGTAAAGACGTGGTAAGTGTCCTCTAACCAGTGGTTTTGCAGCCAAATGACACCGCAAGATAAACGGTTATGACCCAGCGCCCTCTAAACCGAGTAGTTTTGCCTCTAAATATGACCACAAGATAACAGTCATGGTCAGAGCCAATACGCTCTTTAGTGACATCAAATCCTTGATATATGAATCAATATGATATAATCGATATGGTACAAAGCCCTCTGTTAGCTATGGTGGAATCAAATTTGTCCCATTAGACAAATACCCACCCCAGGTCTATAAGGTTCCCTTGAACGAAGCAAACCACGGCTGCCAACAAGGATACTTCTAACAGGTTGGGTTGACTACCTCCTCTGACTAAGTAGATCAGGAACCACGATGGCCCTGGACGACGGAATCATGGTATCTTGATCAGGTCCATCATCCATTCCCCCACCATCCACTTTAAATGTAAGATAGTGAAATTTTCAATTTTAAATATCAAATCTTCAAATTCTCAAATTTTCAAACACACGCTGCTACTATATGCTAGATAACACATTTATATATCATGAGGGATAATTAACTATAGGAGCTTGCGCATATAGGAAACTAGAACTCTAATCATAAAATCCTTGCAAAATAATCTCTGCGTAGTGTCTTATCTACAAACCCATCTGTCTATGGATGAAGCATAGAGTCATAATGTAGTGGTCTAATATTCAAATATTAATGATCAAAATTAGAAGCTGCGTTCAAACACACACACAACACATACGCAAAACTCAAACCCAGAACTTCTTAATTGGGAACCAATCTCCCAACAAACCCTAAACCAACAAACAAACCAAGAAGAGCTGCATACAAGAAACTACTTTATATGGGTCCACTCCAATACTGGAATCCTGTGATTCCTTGGATAATAAAAATTTGCTAAAGACTTCATCTAAAATACACACGATACAGAACTATAATATTCCTGGTTATAGTGCCGTTATAAAATTTAAAAGAACCATGATAAATATCATGTAACATTATAAAAAATCACTACTAATCACGACTGTCAGGATTTGCTAAAACAATTAAGGTTGCTGAAGCCATTCTAATGATCAGTTCTTAACAATCAAGCAATATCCAGCTCCAGGGTTTTCGATAACTTAATGCTATTGCATGAAAACATAATAATATAATAATTGCATTAGTAGCAATTAATACGTAAAATAATTCACAAAGTGCTTTGAACGCAGCAATGCCCCCAAAACAAGACATCCCAGAATCTGGAATGTATAATTAACAAAACAATACATGGATGGAATTTTACAAACAGAGAATTCTACACTTGAACATTTACCATAAACTAGCTATTACAAAAGAATACGTATCGTGTTCTTCATCCTTCAATTGAAACAAGAATCACATAAGATTGTCTCTTTTTTTTTAATATTCCTCACTTAATTGCTTCTCCCTTCGAGAAATCATATTCATACGTATACAAATATATATATACTTTCAAATGTCTAAAAAAATGGCTAATCAAGAGCTGCTTTGTTCCTCCATGCAGCGAGAGGCTTTTGAAATCCATCAAAAATTGGCCTGGCAATTACATCTGGCTTCAAAGACCATTTGCTTGCAGGCCAAATTGACGAGATGTTCTCAGACTCACTTAAGCTCGTGGCACTCGATGATTTTCGAACTGAGAGAGAAACATCTCCTGTAATAAGAGAATCGCTGCCCAATGATGTGTTCTGGTGACCCTCATCAAAGTCAGTTCTGCTCCCAAGCTTTGGCCTTAAAGCCAGACCTTTAACGGCCCTTCCTGAAAATACACTTCCAGTACCTTCTTCCTTGAGTAGAATCTCTGGTGTCTGTTGTCTCCTGATCCATCCATTGAGCTCATTGACATTCTCAGAAACTTCGAAGCCATTATCTAAGTTTGGGGTCTTCTGAAGCCGGCTATGGACGGGATTGGAAGAAGGTGATTCCGGGAACTTTGCATCATCTTCGAACATGAGAGATTTCCCTGATTTAAAGACTGACATCTCAGTGCCTTCAGGTAGATGATTCTTATTAGATTGTGTAAGGCCATAGTAACCCTGTAAACTGCACATTGCAGGGGAAAGGCGGCGGGGAGAAGGCTTCGGTTTGAGAGATTGGAGTGAATCTACTATATCACGAGATTGAAGCTGACGAGTTTTCTCTCTGCAAAAATTTTCTGGCACATTCAGTACGTCGATGATGATGGCATAGGAAGTATGCAAGTTATATTTTTTTGACATCACAGAATATTAAATAATGAGAACGTATTTGGAACCAAATATTTTGAACCATCAGAAATATAATAGGACGTTCAACTGTAACAGGAAGGCGTTTGCTCAACAAAACATTATCAGACGCCATAACATGCCAAATATATTCATGGATCAACTAAATAGAAAATATGATCAGCATCATATGCACTATATAGAACTTAAATAGCACCAAGGAGAACCCAATAATAATAGGCCATCGACGTAGAATGCCTCAAAAGTCTAGATTTCTTAACCACGCAAAATAATGCAAACATATAAACTTCATACTTCACAAAAATTAAATTTAAACAAATATTAATTCCTTCGTATGAAATTTGAAAATATGAAAAAAAATTGATGCATATGATAATTTATTAGCCATCTATTATAAATGATAAATGGGCATTCAAGAGCATAAAAATTATATTTGATTGAAATAATGCCATAGTAAAAAATTATACAACAACAATATCAAATTTTTATCCCACTACATGGGGTCGTATAGGATGATCCATGATTCGATTTGATTGATCATAATGAATGAAGGATTCATATCGTATAGTTTGATCTAACAAAACTCAAAATCAGTTATTGAATTAATCAGACAATACGATTCCACTTCGTATTGTACGATCAATGCATTAAAAATTGAAATTTAAGATTTCCTTTAATAGCTCCATCTGATTCTTTTTATAGCACGTGTGCGGCAAGTGAGTAACTAGAATTATTTTTTCTTGAGAGAGTCCTTTGAAGAGGGAGAGAGGTTTCTCCTTGCTTGAGAGAGTTTGTCAAACCCACTTGTGAGAGAGAATGTGAGGTTGAGAGGTTGTTCCTTGGGGAGTCAAGGGTTGTGTGAGGGAATTCACACGGTTGTCCTTGTCAACTTGCATCTTAGTCCTCCAAGTTGTGGTTTTGGAGCTCTTGAAAAGAAGTCTTTAAGTGAAAGACTTGTGATTCGCCGAGAAGGCTAGGGGAACGACATCACTATGATGTGACGAGCAAAAATAAGGGAGTGACATCTTTGCCATTGTGGGAAGCAGGAGAGTGTTAGACTTTTCGAGAGGAAGAGTTTGTGAAGGTCATTCTTCACATGGGAACGGAGAAGGGCTTCTCCGCCTTGTTGAGTGTAGGAGCATTTACAAGTGGAGTTCCAAAAGAGGGAGACTTTTGGGGAGTGGACATAGGCCAAATTTAACCAAACATTTATAAAATCTCAGTTTGCATTTATTTTATTTTTTGCACTTTATTTCTTGCAAAACTTTAATATCCAAAATTTGTGGTTTTAATCAGTTGTGATTGCATTTAAGAAATATTTTCAAAACAAACTTTTTGTAAGCTTTCTATTAATCAAAATATCAAAAAAATAAAAAAATAAATAAATAAATAAATCAAAATATCAGTTTTGAATTACTTTCAAATTAATCTCGAGTAATTTTATTGCTCTCAAAAATAAAATAAAAAATATATTTTTAGCACTTTCTGCTTTAAAGTTATATTATTGTTTTCAAAATCACTTTCAACTGCACGTTGTATTGTTCCTTAATAATTTTTTTTAAAAATAGCTGATTCGCCTCCTCTTAGTTGTCTCATTAAACTTTCACTAATAATATCCTCATCTATTTTACCATCACTTTGAACAATAAACTTGAGATATCTAAAATGTGTACTCTTTCTAATGATTGGATAGCCCAAAGTCATAATCTCCCCGCAAGATCTATTAATATTAAAATTAAACTATGCATTCAGTCTTAAATCTACTCAAACGAAAAACCTTTATACTTTAAGGTTGACCTCCATAATTTAAGTTTTCCTTCAACTCTCTCTTTAGTCTTATCAACAAGAAGAATTTCATCAGCAAAAAGCATACACCAAGGTACATCCTCTTGTAAATGTATAGTAAGAAAATTCATGACGAAAGCAAAGGATATGGCTTAAAACTGATCCTTTATATAATCCAACTGAAACAACAAATACTTGGCCAAACCAACTTGTGTTAAAACACAAGTAAATCCTACATGCATATCCGTAATGACTTAAATATAAGTATTAACAGCTCCTTTCTTTTCTAGAACTTTCTAGAGCACTTCTCTTAGAACATTCTCATATACTTTCTCTAAATCAATAAATATCATATGTAGATTCCCATTACTCTCACTATACTTCTCCATCAAACCTCTTAATAATGTATAGCTTTTATAGTTGACTTATCTGACATGAATCCAAATTGATTTTGAGAAATATTAGTATCACGTTGTTACCTATGCTCAACAACTCTCTCACATAGTTTTAATGCATGTCGCATAAACTTAATTCATCTATAATTCCCACACTCTTGTGCATTACCTTTTTTCTCAAAAATAGGAACCAACACACTCCTCTACTTGTCAAGCATATTTTTAGTTTAAAAATAATATTAAAAAGTTTTGTAGGCCAAAAAATTTTATCACCTCCTAAGCATTTTCATACATCTATTGAAATATCATCAAATCCAACAACTTTTTAACATTTCATTTCTTTAAAGCAACTCTAGCTTAGGTTCTACTAATATGACGATAAAAACAAAAATTTTGATTTTCATTTAGGATGCTAAGGTTATCAAAGTTAATCATATTCTCACAATCTTCATTAAAAGACATCAAAATATCTCATCCACATATATTGAATATCCTCTTCTAATAAAAATATTTTTTTTATCTTCATCCTTAATGCACTTACATTTAAACTAAATCCATACTTCTCCTATCTATTTGCTTGGCTACCTTATATATACATCTTTTGCCCTCCTTATTATCTAATATATTATATAAATCATTAAAAGCTAAATTCTTTGGATTGCATATTTCTTTCTTAGACTCTTTATCGGTCCTTTATATCTTTTTCAATTTTTCGGGCTTTTACTTCTAAATCAATTTTAATAACAATGTTTTTTTAGTTTTTATCTTTTTTTGCACATTTTGATTATACCAACAATTATTTTTACTATTAAGAATTCTTTCTTTTGATACTCTAAGAACGTACTTTGTAACATTCTTAACATCATTAACTATTTTTTCACATATAACATTAACTTCCTCATGCACAATCAAAATTTTAAAATCATGAATTTTGCTCTCAAAAATATTTTTATTTGCGTTCTTTAAATGTCTCCATCTAATCCTAAGATGACATTTTATTTATTTTTTTCATATTATGTCCCTTTATCTTAAAGTTAAAAACTAATAAACGATATTGGATACATAAACATTCACTCGAAATAAATTTGCAATTTAAACGATATATTTTTCTTAAAAGAAAATAATTTATATTAGTTTTATTATATTCATTTTTATATGTGATCAGATGTTTATCTCTTTTCATAAATAAGGTATTAGCAATTACAAAATCATAAGCAAAAGCAAAATCTAATATGGTCCTACCACCTTTGTTAATCGCTCCAAACTCATAGCCACCATGAATGATTTTAAGGCCTCCACTATTTTATCAACATATTCATTTTAATCTCATCCAATAAAAACTCTTTCTTCAAGAGGTATCTTTTGAATTAATTTACTTTAAGTCATTTGAAATTTTTAATTTTGAACACATATCCAACTTGAGGAATATAAGCACTTATAATAGTAATAATCTTAGTAGCAACAACAATCTTTAAAACTATAATTTTATCTTTAATTTTAATAAGTTCTATAACATTATCCTTCAGACTTTTGTCTATAATCACACTTACATCATTTCTAGTATGACTCCTACCTAAATATCATAGTTTAAATCCTAAATTATCAATCTCTTTAACCTTCTCTCAAACTCATTTCGTTTCTTGAATGCAAAGAATATTTATCTTTTATGAATCACATCTATTAGTTTCATTAATTTGCTTGTAAGAGAACCTATATTCCAAGGTCCTATCATAATCCTAGTTTCATGAACTAATTTTCCATTTATAATGTTGGAACTCTTGCTTATTTAACATTATACCTGGGCCCATAGTCAAAAACTATATTGTACAAAATTTAACTAAACTTAATGACACATGCCAACCACTAACTAGAAGTTAGTATAGAAAAAAAAAAAAAAGGAGATTACAAAATAGTAACAAGCCTCACACCTTCACAAGAACTTCCCATAGAATTGTCAATCTATATTTGCACAAAGAAAAATTAGAAGGAATTACATACAATCAAAATTTTATTAAATCAAAATGGAATTAATGTAAGATGAATTTCACATTCCTTAGATATTGAGTCGCGTTTGAGTTTAGCTTCACTCAGAAATCAAAATTATTTTCAGTTGAGCCTATTGGATTCAAAAGGGTTTGACTTCAAGTGAACAACAATTAATTTTAAGTAATCAATCCACACACACACATTCCACATAAATTCTCATTTAAAGTTGTATTTTGAGATGACTTGATCTATAGCAAAGCGCGTCAAGCCAAACTCAAAATTGACTTGTAAATTTTTTCAACTTCTAGACAAAAGTCGAAATCAAATCAAGTGAAGTCAAATTTTGAAAGAATTTCAAGCAAATTTTCAGCTGTAAGCATTCCAACAATCCCACTTATAGACTTACCTTCTGTTTTATAAAGTATATTAAGTATTCAAAATTAGTAATGGATGATTTCATCTACAATAATAGCTTTAGAAATAACCTTAGTATAAAAGAATGATAATTATGCAAACAATATATTGAATGTGCAACCCAAGAGAGGAGATAGAAAAATAGAAGAATCCAAGGCATTAGTTGATGGTTCATGATATAAAATTAAATCATATACATTTAAAAAAAAGGGTGTAACATCAAATCTTTTTGTGTTTTTCAAAATAAAAGCATTCATCTTAATATGTTATTTAACAACATATGAACCCATCTTTCTAGCATCTAATTTCTTAAGGATTCATATAAAAACTTTCAAAA